TAGCTATAATTTTGTGAGTTGTTAAAAAAATAATATTATACTTCCAAAAATAATAATATACTTATTAGTCATTATACAACCTATATGATATATTGAACTTGAACGATGACTTATTAGACCTGKTACCTGGTTGTCGTCTTTCATATTTTGAACGGGATTTTTAAATTAGAGCAGTTTTGCTTCAGTTACTGCCGCAACGAAAAGTGTAATTAATGAACATGAATAATATTTTTCTTAAAAACATTCAAGTTGTTATCACTAAATTGTTATAATACAGTCGAATCGCGACAATTCAAAGTTGTATAGTCGTATATATATAAAATCACTTGTAGATATTATTTATTATTCAGGATATCTAACTTGAATTTAACCTAATCTAACCCCTAGGGGAATAAAAAAAATCGAGTTGTCAAGTTTTTCGAGTCATAGTGATTCGAGTATGAGCGTTTCACTTACATTACGCATTCCGACGGGTCTTATCTCTAATATTATTTATATTATTATCTCTTTTAGAACATCTATTATATACATATAACCCCTGAAATGACGTAGATATAAATATACAGAATGATTGGTATATGTACTTCCAGTTTTTCGTTTGTTAATCAATTCTGAATTCATTCAAAATGTTGGATTTTAAATTTTTTAAGTGTTTTGAATGTGTAGTGTCAATAGTACAATTTCAATAAAAAAAAAAAACTGGAATGCTGAAGCTCCTTGTTTTTAAATTAATTTTTATCATTATTATAAAACTAGACACTGTACTTTGTTAAAATAAAATCAACCTTGCATATTATATAATGCGTATTACAATTATTTATTACACAGATTAACAGTGGCGTATTTTCAAATTTTTTGTTGGGGATGGTCTATAAATATATAAAGTAAATTTATAATATTATAAAAGAACACATCATATAAATTATTAATATTCTCTTTCTCTGTACCTGGGTATTTAGCAAGTTATTTATGATTTGAAAATTTTTTTTCTTGATTGGGGGGGGGGTAAAGACCCGACCCCCCTGTAATAAATATACCAGGGTAATTCACTAAGAATACTCATCACTATAGCTTTCCTTAAATAATTTATTTATTCAAATTCTAACTTTTGAAATTTTTAATACATATTAATAATGTTGCACTTATATATTTTATACATATAATATATTATATATACACTTGCTGAAATACCGGTCGTTTCTGGGTTTATTGATTGTTGTTATCTAGTAAGATTAAAAATTGTTTAGTTAAATTAAATTTAAATAAGATTGATTAAAAAAAAATATGTAATATTAATATATTAATTGTTTACCTATAAAGTTGATTTTTATCGTTAACATAATATTTCTCTATAAATTACATTAGCTATAATTCCTGTTGGTGCCAAAATAACTAAACTTGTAGGCGTATTGACTCAGGAGCATGCCACATACAATTGGCCATGTGAAAAACAATCTTCTCTTATATCGTCCTGTAAATTTCAAGGTTTACCCTTGTGATTTGTTTGTAGTCATGGCAAAACATACTTTTACAGGAAACTGCACTCTCTTGAATTGGAAAGGATAATCTGATGGTATAATTGGTATCCGAGGAATAAGAATTGATTCACCTTTTGCAGATCCAGTCATAATAATAGCTTCAATCAAATTCCTTTGTAGACCAATAGTCCATAGACGTGTCTCATTGCACAATTTTGATGGACTAAGATTTCTGAGAAGCATTATAGGACAACAAATTTTTAATATTAATAAATGTAGTGGAAATCCAGGAGGGTTGAGTGAATTGATAAATTCAACTGGATAATTAACTGCATTATCTACTTCCAGTACTGAATTCACTGATTTGTATTACATATTTTTTGCTTTGAAAGAGTCCAATAATATTTTGTTTTTTTTTTTATTGATCATTTACAACTTCGGCAACAAAGGCCAATAGTTATTTTATTTTTTAATATTTTGTTTATATCTCCTGCTGTATTATTTTTTGATGTCAATTTCGATGCCTGGATATATTTTGCCTGTGAGTTCCTTTATAGCTTTTACAACGGTACCTAATCCGGTCGGCAAAATAATTTTTTCTTCATATTCCAGATATTTTCCATCTCCTATTTTTAATAGTAACTCTGAAAACTGCTTAGGAGTCCTGTCTCCCTTTAAATGTACTCTGAATGAGAAAAGTCATGAAGACTGGCTGCAATTTCATTAGCTTGAGTTCCACTTGATACGATTGGTAGAGTTTGTCGAAAATCTCCAGCCAGCAGTACTGTGACTCCTCCTATCAACAAATTCGAATTTTATAGATGCTTCAGACAGTTGTTTAAAGCACCAAATCCTTTCTTATGAGACATTGGACTTTCATCCCAAACTATGAGCTTGCATTTTTTCAGAACTTTCGCAAAATTTGATTGTTTATTAACATTGTATTGATATTAATATGTATGAATGTATTAATATTGCACCATCACCGATAATTGGTACAACTATTTGAGATGTCAACAATCCATTCACAGTAATTTCTTCAAAAGGTGACATTTTTAGATTCTGAGTGGAGCAAGGAATACAATGTATTGATTTTACCATGATGTGTGTTTTTTTTTGTGTCTGTCATCACGTTTTGGGGCAGTAAATGTGCTTCGATTTTTGACTTCAGTACCTCGTTTGATCAGTAAGTGAATCTAGTCGGTACTTTAGGGGAGTTAAAAGTAAAAAATTCTTAACATTTTTCTAAAAAGTCGGGATAAACAAACTAAAAATTAAGAGAAAAACGGGAAATTTTACGCACGATCAGTTTTCGACAAAATCGATTTTGGTTTTTGATGTAACTTTAAAATAAATGACCATAGATACATGCAATTTTCACCGAATGTTTAATGTTTATATAAGTATATCCCATCCACCATGCGATTTTCAAAAATTTTCTAATTAAGTTGAACTATTCATAGGTATATGCAATTTTTGATCATTATTAGTTTTTTTTAAATTAATATCGATAAAAATTCATTTGTTGGGTAGAAAAGCTTGAAAA